GCGGGTTTCAGTGGAGCAGATTCTGCTTTGTCATTTCCTGCCGTGTAGCGGTATGGCGTAGAGATGGTAGTTGGCGTGAGTGCGAACCGTTTGGCGATGGTGTCGGCATACTTTGCGGCGTTGAGATAGATCGCGTCTTCTCCTTCTTGGATGTTGAGGCCGAGGTATTGCGTGACGGTAGACGATACCGTGAGGGTGAGATCCTTTTGTAGCTCCCCTTCGAACCAGGTAGTAACGTTGCCGGTTGATCCGATGTAGAGTAGGTCGTCTACGTAGACGATCAGTAGAATGTAGTCGTCGTCTTTCGTAAATCGATACATGCCTTGGTCGTGCGGCAGCTGCTTGAATCCGATGCGAGTGAGCCGAGCGTGTAAGTACTGCTGCCACAGTCTCGGGGCCTGTTTAATCCCGTACAGAGATTTTTGCAGTTGACAGACTTGATTGGGCTCTCCGTGAGAACCATGTGGGAGTTCGACGTAGATTTCTGCGTCGACGGGTGCGTAGAGAAAAGCATTGGCGACGTCGATTTGCCGCAGTTTCTTCTTTTTCATAGCGGCGACCGCGAGAAGAATTCGTAGTGAAGTATGTCGACTAACCGGTGCGAATGTCTCAGTGAAATCGCGTCCGTGCTCTTGGTCGAAGCCACGTACGACCCAGCGTGCCTTGAATTTGTCGATGGTGCCATCTGCTTTCGTCTTCACACGGAAGACCCACTTCCCGGTGAGTATCGTCTTGTTTCGTGCCACGCCAATAGGAACAACCTTCCAGGTGTTGTGCTCCTGTAGTGCTTTCAATTCCTTGTCCATGGCTTCACGCCATTTTTCCCTATGCTCCCCCCCCAGAGCCTGCTGAACTGTGGCAGGCTCCTTAGGAGGATTCGTGCCGTGGACCGCGGTGACGAGACCAAGTATTTGAAGTCCACTCTGTGTGTAGCGGGGGAGTGTTGTGTCCGCGGGATAAGCTGCTTCGTCACCGGCTTCTGGGTCAGGTATGAAGTTAGGCCCTACGCGTTCTGCTTCGTTGGTGTTGACTTCTGCAGGTGTAACGTAACCAGTGTCGGCGAGGTCGAAATAGGTTTCGGCGTTGATGCTTTCGCGAGGATTTTCGTTATCCATCGGGATGGGCACGGAGCAGTAAGGGAGTGGTCCTGCTTCTTCCGAGGCGTTATCCACATTCTGCTCGTCCTAGTCAGCTTCGTCTGCTGCCGAGGCGAAGTGTCGGTCACCATGGAAGCCACCTGTGGGATCCTGATTTTCTTCCAAGTTGGCAAGATACGTCGGAAGGGTGAGTCGTTCGTAGAAAATGACGTCACGTGCTGCTACTGTTTCTTTGGAGTGGACGTCGAAAATCTTCCACGCGTTGTAATTTTTCTCGATGCCCAGGTGTAGTCCCCACTGTGCTCGTTGGGAAAATCGGTCGGCTCGTGCAGATGGGGGTCGGTACTGTACCATGCAGCCGAAAACTCTTAACATTTTGTGCTGCCCTGTTTTCCTGTCCACGGCAGGTGCGGTGATGCGTTGTTCGGTAGTGACGACGACGAAAGCAAGTTGTGCAGCATGACAGCGTGGTCCATCGCTTCAGGCCACTGGTGATTGGGCAGTCGCATGCCACGCAGTAACTTGCACATGGTGTTCTGGAGAGTTCGATTCATCCGTTCCGCCACGCCTTGCTGTTGATGGGCGTAAGGAAGCGAGATGAGCCTCTTGATTCCCTTTTCTGCCAAGAACTGCTTGAACCTCTGTGAGGTGTATTCTCCTCCTCCGTCTGACTGAAAGCTCTTCAGTTTCTCGCCCGATTCTCGTTCTGCTACTGGGAGCCAAGCGATGAAGGCTTCGAAGGCCATGTCCTTGCTCGGAAGATTGAGGTGCCATACGTAACGTGTAGCTGCATCGATGAACGTGATGGTATAACTGTATGCTCCTTGTCCGGGTTCGCGATTGTACAGGATATCGCTGTACACCTTCTCAAGTGGTGCGTAAGCTGGTGCGCTGGGGTTGTGATGAGAAGTGAAAGGTCGATGCGGTAAGTCAGCTTCGGGGCAGGTAAAACACGTTCCTCGTGCTCGTCGTAGCTCACTTCCGTCGGTTAGAAGTAGTGAATCTTTGTCAAGAACGCCTGCTCTGATTGTGTTGTTTAACACTGTATTGCTTGGATGTCCCATTCGTGCGTGCCAGATCTCTTCGGTAGCGCGATGTCCGGGTGAACGTCGATACAGGTCGGAGTTGGAGTAAAAGGCGGCGGTGAAGTTGGCGCTTCTGTGAACTTCGCGAGGTGTGGGAGTTAGCTGCTGCGCAGGAGTCGGTGAAATGTTGTCGATGTGTGGCGATGTTGAAGAACTTGCGACTGGTGTTGTAAGTGTTGTTGGTATTTCCGATGGGTCTGCTGCTGCCGATGTTGTTTCTGCTGCTGCTGATGTTGTTTCTGCTGCTGTCGATGTTGTTTCTGCTGCAACCGAGTGTTGAATCGTTGCTAATGCTCGTGTTCGTTCTGCTTCAGGGATGGTGTGCGAGTACCAGAAGCCTTCTGGACTGAAGTCGGGGTCAAGATCCGGTGGATGTGTCCAAGAAGTAAAAGTTACAATCCCGTCGCTGTCGGCAGTGCCGAGATCTGGGACGAAGTCGAGGACGAAGACGTTATTCTTCAATACTGCTTTGCCGATGTAGAGTCCACCCTTGCCGTGGTATAACTTAAATTCCTGAGTGGTGCTGTCTGCCTCGAGATGTATGCCCTTCGCCATCAGCTGACTGACGCTCAGCAGCTTGTAACCGAGTCCTTCTGCTATCAAAACCTTTGACATCTGCAGTATGACGTTTGTTTCTCGTGACTGAAGTTGCACTACGCCTTGTCGTCGTGTGCGCAGGTTCTGATTGTTGGCGACGGTGATGACGACTTCTCGTTGAGGTTGGTGTTCACGTTGAACAAATCGTCCTGAAGAGCACATATGTTGTCCACAGCAGCTGTCCAAGAACCACGTATCTTTTCCGGACGGCTCGCTTTGAGCGATAGCTGCATACGTCGGATTGGCTGAAGTGATTCGCGGCGAGGTGTGCTGTTGTCGAGTTGTTCTTCCGGTGAGTAATGTGGTGGAGACTCGGTGATGCAGGAATCGGTCAGCCGTGTCATACAACTGACAATATTTCTTGTTTCTTGCGCAGGTTGTCCCGTTGAGACTTGTACTTGGGATGTCGGATTTACTTGCGTTGAGGCAACTTGGCTGCTTGAAGGCCGAAGCTGCCGCCGCGTCGGTGCTGATTGTTGTCGGTTAGGGCAGTGTGAGCGAGGATGCCCTGACGTTTTGCAAAGATGACAGAACGGAGGTACTGATTTTGGTTGATGCCGATTGTTGTTGTTGTAGCGTCGTTGAGTGTGGAATGCAAATTCGGGCACTGATGCCTTCTTTTTGTGTCGTTCTTCTTGCATGTCCATATCTTGCTGCTCAGCATGGATTTCGGCGCAGAGTGCTGCTTCTGATATCTTTCCATGCGCTCGGAGTATGGCGCGGGTGGAGCGCCACTGAGGACCGAGGCCGCCGATGATGACTGTGACGAAGGCGTCTTCTAAAATCGACCCTCCGCATCGAAGGAGTTTGTCGCGCAATTCGCGACAACGGCTGATATACGCCACCCCTTTTTCGCCTGGTTTCATTTCGACTGTCGTCAGTTGCGCCATTAACCGACTTTGATTTACGCTGTCCGTTGCTTGATACAGGTTCTTCAGGTGGTTGTACGCGAGTTCTGCAGAGTTGCCGTAACCCCGGTAAGACCGTATGTTCTGCTGCTGACTTGAAGTGAGATTTCTCAGCAGTATTGTGTACGCCATCATTGACTGATAAGTGTACTGCTGCTTGTCGTACTGTGTGCCGTGTGTTGGATATGGCAGGGACCCGTCGAAGAAGCCAAGAATCTGCGCGCCTTCCATCATTAACTCGAACTCGAATGACCAGGTAAAGAAATCCTTTCCGTCGAAAGGCCTTGTCGTCTGCAGTTTTAAGACGTGCGCGAACTGCGACTGAACTTGAAGTGCATCCAGCGTCTTTTCTTGTCCGGATGCAGGCTGCGGGTGTGGCATAAGGCTGACGGAGCCACGCTGGGGCTCATACGGGGCAAAGGTAGGCCGTTGCTGTTGGTTTCCTCGTGCGTAGGATGAACCATCTAGGCTCATCGGTGTTGCGTTGTTGTTGCTGTTGTTTGACTGTGCAGGTGCCTCTTGCTGGTGCTGTTCGTAGAAGGACATGAAGGAGAAGAACTTCTCCATCATGTCTGGATCGAAGGCCGCGGCTTGATTTGCGGGAGTTTCCGAAGACGACGCCTTTGGTCTTGTTGCCGTACCCTCCTCTGTCTGTAGGCCAGAGGCAGGAGGTGGAGTAGGAGTAGTGGCAGGAGAGCCGTTGGAGGAGCTTCTCTCCTTCTGCGTTGCCATGTCTTGCGATGTTGTAGATGTCTTGTTTGTAGTTGAATTTGCCCTGACTGCTCTCATACCATGTTGGGCTGAGAAAGCCCTTAGGATCTTTGCAGGGCAGAACTCAAGGGTAGGATGATGTAATAGCGGAAGCGTTTTAATAAAGGATTGTGAACCACCTTGCGCTTGTATGTGAGGGCAAAGTAAGTTGATTAAACAAAAGAGATACAAGCTTTTATAAGAATACAAAGGAATATGAAGAGATACAGTTGATAACTGTTTTACTGTTGCTGTTGCGGTTCGATACAGTGTCGACTCGGGCAACTGCTCAGTATCGAGACAGTTGTTTGTCCTTGCTGTCGCCCTGCATTTGTCAGGTCAAAGGTCGCTGACCTTTGACTTTCGCGTAACCTCCAACAGTTATTCAACCTCCGAGGGTTGACTCACCGATGTTTCGATACGATCTGCTTCGCTTCTGTCTTGGTGTTTCGACACGACAGAGGCGCTTAAATCAGTTGTTTCCAACAAAATTCACTCTGATGCACAATGTGCAGACATTGTATGGTCACCTGAATCTCGTGGCATTTTACGCAAGGATCATCTCATCCTCCTTGCTGACTATTGGCACTAGCACGCCTACTGAGGTGCCCTCCTTCCAGGGGCAATGAGAGTGCAGTAGTCAGGGGAACAGTCATGCTATCATCATCAATTGGGAACAACTCATCTACCGGAGCGAGCTCAATTTCCACTGCTCTCCTTTCTGTTCCTGCACCCAACGATATGTATCATATCAGAAGTATTATAAAGCAAGCACAACCAACGTCACAAGAGACATTTTTTCTCAGCATGAGGAATAGGCATTGTGTGTTCCACATCCAACAAAAGCTCACAAACGCGGTAGTGTAATATTGCAACATACAATGCTTGAGCAATTGATAACCAAGTAGAGAACTCACCATCAACTGAAGAAGAACTTGGACGGTGAGCTTGCGGAGGCGTAATGTTTTGATCGAGCTCCACAAGACGGGGATGTGAGCGGGATGGTGTTGCAAATACTGGGGTCAAAAAGTTCTTGTCGATTGAAGCGAAGCTAGCCCTGCAGCAGAAGTTATACATCAGAAAATCAAATCAACAGTGTCCTTGACACAACTTTTAGCCTTACTTCTCCTTCAGCTGCTGAAACTTCTTCTTCAAATTGCTCTGGGGTTTTTCAGGTATTTGAGCTACCAATATCTCCTCGTTCGGCGAATCCTGCAAATTTACTCACATCCTTAGAATCAACCACGATTGAAAAGCCCATACTTAGTTAGTAACTGAGGGGCAGGTTACCTGATCATCATGTTCACTTCGGGCACCGCTGCATTCAATCTTCAGCCATGAGAGCATGTGGGATGTTGCACCACCAATGAACAATACCTGCACATCATATGGCATTGAGATAAATATTTGAAGTCTGGCCTGACTGGAACCATGCCACTGTAATTGCCTCCCCAAATCAGCGAACTGGATTGCAATCTGGAAGCTTCGAGTTCAGAGAGTTGAACTTACAGTGAATGCAATAGTTAGCAATGTTGATGTCAAAATAACTCGACCATATTCGTCCGGAAGATCAGTAATAGATTGTAGTGCGAGTGCAAATGCCATGGCTCCACGAAGCCCTGCAACAACAATTGGATAATCATCAACAGATGTCAGCTTCATGTTGCAGAATAACGAACCCATGGTGCGATAGATTAAATCTGACATACCGCTAAACCACAACGCATGCTGATGATTCATTGGTATTCTACTTTGCTTCTGGCGGAAGGCATTGACAATGTACGCGAGGGGATATATGTTGAACACCCTGCAAGAAAAAAATAATTCTTAGCAACAATGATATGATATAATGAACTGGTTGAAAGCATGTAAGATAAGGAAAACACACAAATACCTTGCAATAAGAATAGCAAGCTGTAACACAACCACGCCTTGTCAGGTCAGAGAAAACAATGAGAAGCAGACAAAAGAAACAACTGAGATGAATGCGCCTTACAATAGTATATAGGGTAAAGCTGTAGCTTCTCCAACTTTGTTTCTCCAGAAATACAGCGACTCCCATGTATATAAACCTGTGTGAACGGACGTATTCAACCCAAGGGCTTGCTGACAGAAACGGAACACCGCACAATGAAAATAACCATACACGAAGGTTTCGGATAACTTTGCAAGGATCGAGAAGAAGCTACTTGTTGTGGCGAGCGCTTTCTCGTTCAGATGCGGAGCTGTGTAGTATCTCATTGTCTGGACCATGAAAACAGTCAGTGGACAGTCAGGAGATAAGCTTGCAGATGTACAAACTCACCATTCCCGCAAAGAGGATGGCCACGATTCCAGACAATTCAAAAGCATCAGCAAGCATGTACGCCATATAGGGGAATAGCGATAGTAGGGAGGCTTGCAGCAAAGCGAGACTGCAGAAAGTGGCACCAATAGGTCAACATACTGCCCCATGAAAAAAACTTGCTTTTTTCAAAAGATATGTGCCATTCTTACCCATCATCTTCGAATCCGCAATGCTTGAAGACAAGAGCACTTAACAGCCCCAGAATCACTCCTGCGCAAAGAATAATGGATGAACTTTAGCACCCCAACAAAAGAAAGGCCGACATTTAGAGGCAACGTGAAACACACTTACCTATCGAGAATGAACCAACAAAATTGGCCAAGAAAAACGAAATAGCAAACCATATTCCCCTGCCGTCAACCTTGGTTGTCACAAATGACAACATGGTCCTGTAAAGAACTATGGCAACCTACAAAAACAACAGAAATATAAAATATTAGCTTCTGATACATAAATTCGCGGAATCCACTTCAGGTGCAACTTACTGCATCATTCAGTACAGATTCTCCAAAAACTTGGGCGTAGAGGGTGCGGTCTACACCCAATTGCTGCAAAAACACAACAACGCTGGTAATGTATTTCCTCAACGCAAGGATCGTATCGTAGCAATGAGAAAAGTTGTACCTGGAAAACTGCAAGCACCGACACAGGATCAGTTGCTGATATCAGAGCTCCAAAGGCAAGGCACACCATAATAGGCATGGCGTGAGCAGCATGTAGTAATCCAACAAAGTACCTGTCAGAAATATCAACAAGACCTCACTCAATGATTGAAAAAATGATTAATGCTTCAGGAGAAAAAACTAAAATAAAGAAGGCAAATAAGCTGATGCTGAGCAGTTCACGAGCTCACATGAAGCACCCCACTAACAAGGTCGATATGAGCGTCCCAGCGAATGCGAAGGTACAAATCGCCCCGAAGTTGCTAAAGAATGGTTTCTGAAACCAGCAAATGCGTGTTAGCGAAGCGACTGGCAGCCAGCAGAAGTAACAAGCTAGCTACGAAAACTTACCGTCTTCAAGCTCCATCCCGACTCAGTGGAAAGGTAAAAACGGTTAAGGAAAAACAGGTTTCGTGCAAACACAATTGAGAAAAGGGTGGTCACATATAAAGCAATTGGAGACTCCAAACTTGGAGCCTGAGTGTGGACAAGGAACGGCATGCGTGCGTAGGTACACAAGGCAAGGCGAAGAGAGCAAAAGACCAAGGGGTAATGGCGGACACAGACGACGTGAAAGGATATAATATTATCGGCGGCAGCAAGAAGTAGAAGAAGAAGTTGTTGTTGAAGTTGATCCACTCCCTGCAAACACACAATATGTCGGAGTTTGCACGGCTGGAATTGAATGAGAGTTATGAACGCTGACTCACCTGAACTCCGAACCATGTCGAAGGAATTTCACAACCAACCCTACTAGCACACCTGTAGAAACCAACGTTTATCAGGAAAGAAAGTCACGAGAGCTCAACCACACATTAATCGGCATACCAAAGGCTAAAGCCGCGCCAGCTTCAGGGATTACAACAATCTTCTTCCGTCTAAGACCATGTCCCACCAAAAGAGCGATTGCTAGCATAACCAGCTGAACCAGCAATGAGACGCTAGCTATGTACGATGCGCCTTTGGGAGCCATCGGAACGGGAATTTGACCGCACGGAACCATTCCCGTTGTGAATATGCTAACGTCCGTGTCATTTGCATTCGGCGTCAAGACGCCGACATCCGTATAATTTCCTAGGGTCAAGTTGAACCCAGATGTATCCATGGCGACGAATGTCAGGAATACAAAGAGTGGGGATGCAACCAGGATTACCAAGCTGCAAAGCTGGCCACTAAAGGTATGTGTTATGCATTCGAAGCAGAATAGCAGACGCAACAATCAAGCTTTCAGGAAGCTACCGTTTCAAGGAAGTTGAGAGGGCCGAAGGATGCGTGGCCTAGGATGTCTGCCTTGCCGCAGAACATTTGAGTCAGATTTGGTTTGGAGAGCCCAGAGGAACAGAGCGGGTGTTCAGCTGAATGGTGGAGTTCGCCAGTTCCAGCAAGTTGCGAAAGTCGTGGAGGAAAGTTACTGTGCGAATTTGTCGCGATAAGGGCGTGTCGAGCACGTACACTTTGGAGTATTTGTTATTACGCGTCGAATGGTACCGCCAGGTGTACCCTCGAAGTGTCGAGTCCAGAAACGAGTGGGTGGACCTTATCCGCCACTCAGCACAACTCGCACAGCAAAGATGCGCGACAGTGGCGATAGCTCAACATCGTAACCAGAAGGGCATCAGTTCGTGCTCGCTGGACACGCCATAATGACCTCCACTCCCCCCCTAGATTGTGCCCAGAACAATCGACCGTCGATTTGTCAGGAAGGAGAGCAATCTTGTTTTTTCTCCTGCCTGCACTTGCACACAGCGAGACTCGGCTCGCACCGCGACCACTACTATGTTCTCCATTGTTAAAGTGATCTGTGACTCCATTTCATTGGCAAAGGTAGTGCGCAGTCTGCTGCATCGTGTTTCTTGAAGGAAACAGATAGCATGCCACAGATCCGAACTTGAATAATCAAATAGCATTGCAACACGATCTCTCCTTCGATGGCGTCCTCTGGAAAGGATAAGGTCAGCATGCTTGGTGACGCACAGGTCGATCAGCTTGACAAGGACCTTCGCGAATTTAGGAAGGATCTGGGCACATTGGCTGATAAACAGGTCGCCAAGCAGCACGACGCCGCGCGACGGGATTCGGCAACAGTGCGTACGACACAAGGTGATGCGTCAATGATTGGTTTCTGGTTGCTGAAATGTCCACAGATCCAAGTCAGCTCGCTCTTTTCGAGGTGTTGCCTAATCTGAAGCATGGGGTATGTGTGACCACGTCCACGATTCTTATTCACTATGCCGTAATTGTCGCCTTTGAACGCAGATAAGCTAAACGAATTGAGGCTACTGGAGCAGGATTTTTTGGCTGAGGAGCAGAGCATCTTGAAACGTAAGCATCCCGTGTTGCAAAATTCAGGACTTCAGTTTTTTCGGGAATGGCTGGGAGAGCAAGCTGTTTGTGCCAAAAAGAGCACTTGTTGCAAGCTGTCACTGCCAGTACAACTGCTTGTAGGTGTCACTTCCAGTCCAAGTTGCTTTTCTTTGTGTCCCCACCTCATGTCTGGACTCGTTTGCCTTGCCCCCTCTCCCATCTTGTGCACCTCTCCGCCCCCTCCACTCACCCCAGAGCAAGAGGAGCAGCAGGATGACCTGGACCGCCAGTGTGAAGAGATGGCAAGGCTGGGTCTGGACAAAGGGATGCTGGTGCCTCAGCTGCAGAAAGCGAAGGATTTTGTTGCAGAATTGGAGGCGGACGTGCAGGCAGAGGATGAAGGTGAGGGGAGTGACGGGAGAGCGGGTGGTTGTTTCATTCAGACGCAACAGTTGTGTATCAATCAGCACCCATGTTCTCAACTCTTTGATATGTTTGTTTCTGATGGACAGCACTCGAGAACGCAGAGGAGGTTCAGCAACAGCGCATCGATGCCCTGCTGTCAGTCGTGATAAAGTTCAGAGAAGCCTTTGGCCTTCGCTTCGACCCCACTCCTGGTGTGTTCTCCCCCCGCCTTCATTTCTCAAGTCTGGTGCATTCCTTGCTTGGCATTCTACAAGACGTCTCCACCCTCACTACCTTCCTCGCTCTTTTTTTTTCCCTTTCTCTTGATGATTCCTCTCGTGCCTCCCTCTTCTGACCAATATCATCCCATTCTCTTTTTCTCTGTGGAGCAGGTACACCCTCACTACACACACAACACAAACGCATTTGCACATGCATCACCACTACCTCCCTCGCTCTTACTTCTGCTCTTTCTTTCACTGATTCCGCTTGTACCCCCCCTTCTCCCCGAAGCCATTCCACTATCTTTCGTTCTGTGGAGCATTTACACCCTCGCCACACACACAACGCACGTGTTAGCACATTCACCCCCGCTACCTCCCTCGCTCCCTCTTGACACTTTCTCTCGATGATTCCGCTTGCGCTTCCTTCTTCTGTCCAAAGTTATTCCGTTATCTTTCTCTCTGTGGAGTATGTACACCCTCGCGACACACAGCACAAACGCATTTGCACATTCACCCACTTAGTCACGGATCTGCGCTTGCAAATAAGCATTCACGTGCTAAACTGCGACCGTCTTCCTTTTTTTGTGTTCCATTAACCTTGTCTCCAGATGGCTTGCTCCGAATGACCTTTACGAAGATTGATCCCCTGATGCCTGAAAGGCAGTTCATTGCCCTGCTGGATATGGGCGGTGACAGGGACAAGTGCATTCGTGGTATGTGAAGTGAAAGTAAAGGGTGCAATACGGTTTATAACAGATAGAGTTTAGCGGGAGCCAAAATTTCTTTCAGTGTTCCTGTCGCTCCCCACCTTCCCCATATACCCTCACCCCCATTTCATCATTTCATCGTCTACTGCAACCAGCATCCACCTTTTCTCCCTTATTCCCATTGAGTCGCAATATCTGCGCAGTGGTGAGCAGTGACCCATCCATTCCAGGCTTGGCAGAGGCAGTGCAGCCAGCAGCAAGTGAAGGCGACCTGAGAGCATTGTTCAAAGGAATGCACACAGAATTCAAGAATGCTGTTGCTGAGGGGTTGTGAAGCACAGATGAAGCCAACTACAGCAAGTCAATGTTGCAAGACCTTCGAAGGTGACATGTCATGATCATCAACTGTGACGATTCTTGAGGCGCCTTAGAAATGAAGCCCGTTACAGCAAGGCAGTGTTGCAGGCTCTTCTGAGGTGACATGTGATGATGGCCAACTATGGAATGAAGCTACAGTGGTGAGAAGTGGTCCACAAACTTGTAAATAGGCATGCACCATCCAACAGCATTTGAAATCAGAAGCGCCACACAATGAAGCATGTGAAACATTCGAACTGTTGACCAAACGTCTTCTGTTTTCTTTCTGCTCATGAACTCTCCGGACAGCAACTTGTTCCTCCTGCCCCTCTCACCACTTCAGGTTTGGCTTGAGTTGCCGAGTGGGGTACATTTGCGTCTTTGTTCCCATTCCAAATGTTGTACAAGTGAGGCATTTTCCTGGATGAGCATTGACATGATAAAGCATTGACATATAAAGCTAAACACAACTTGAGCTACAACTTCTAATCACACCATGCCAGAGCCATCCCTTAGAGAGCGCTCCATGCCAGAGCCATCCCTTGGGGAGCGATCCATGCCAGAGCCATCCCTTGGGGAGCACTCCAGGCCAGAGCCATCCCTTTAGGAACCCTCCACTCCAGGCCAGAGCCATCCCTTTAGGAGCACTCCAGGCCAGAGCCATCTCTTGAGGAGCACTCCAGGCCAGAGCCATCCCTTGAGGAGCACTCCAGGCCAGAGCCATCCCTTCAGGAGCATTCCAGGCTAGAGAAATCCCTTTAGGAGCACTCCAGCCCGGAGCCATACCTTCAGGAGCGCTCCAAGCCAGAGCCATCCCTTGGGGAGCGCTCCAGACCAGAGCCATCCCTTGGGGAGCGCTCCAGCCCAGAGCCATCCCTTGGGGAGCGCTCCAGGCCAGAGCCATCCCATGGGGAACGCTCCAGGCCAGAGCCATCCCTTGGGGAGCGCTCCAGCCCAGAGCCATCCCTTGGGGAGCGCTCCAGGCCAGAACCATCTCTTGGGGAGCGCTCTGGGCCAGAGCCATCCTTTCAGGAGCGCTCCAGCCGAGAGCCATCCCTTCGGGAGCGCTACAGCCGAGAGCCATCCTTTTAGGGAGCGCTCAAGGCCAGAGCCATCCCTTGGGGAGAGCTCCACGCTAGAGCCATCCCTTGGGGAGCGCTCCAGAACCATCCTCCACAAGAGCGTGCTGGACTTGATACGAACGTGGAGGAGAGAACTCAAAGCACAATCACAGCTGAATGGCAGCAGATGATAATTCTTCCACCCGCACCAGGAGGCTCGGTAGCCAGTGTGTACAGACCCGACCCTGGCCGACGAGTGAACGTGGCCAGGTGACGGCCCGTCCGTGTACACGTGCAGATCGACACACGCTGACCCCCAGGAGTGGTGGTAGTGACCATCGCATCCTGGAGGGCAGCGGTACTCACCAAGTTCGTAGAGAACGAGGGGAGGTGAAGGCCTGACAGTGAGCCAGATGGAACCGCCGGACACGGGAGAACAGTGGAGGAACGGGCAAGGACTGGGCCCCCGGAGGGGTCAGCCAGTCTGACCGGTACAGGTGCAGAGAGGGGAGTGAGGGTGGTGCTGTCACGAAAGAAACAGCGTGAAGCACCTGAGTCAAGTGTAAAGGTGTGCAAGGCCTCAGCAGGCGCAGTACCAGAGAGAGCAGACTCACTAGCACCTAGAGCAGCAGCCTCTATACTTGGGCCAGGCGGCACACACATGTAACAGTCACCCTCAGCACTAACAGACAAGGCATACATAGCAGCAAGGATAGCATCATAGTGTAGGTCAAAGATAGCAACTCCAGACCTAAGCAGCTCTGCCCAGCGGGGGCACTCGGCCTCGTCACCAAACTCTGCGCGCCAAGCGTCGTCGAGGCGGGAGAAGCAGCGGTGCTGAGTGTGAGGCTTCCCGCATGTCTGACCAGCACGGTCACCCGTGCGAATGACATACGGGCAGCTACCACTACCCCCAGACGCCCCACGCTGAGAAAACCACTCACGAAGCTGCTGGGGCGACGGGGTCTCGCTCCGACGCTGCTGCTGCTGCCTCTGGCCACCGCCAGAACCTCCTCGTTGAGTAGCTCCAGCCCGACCACCACCACTCCCACTGCCGCCACTACCTCCACTCCCACCGCTGCCACCACCGCCACCACCAAAGCCTCCACTCCCCCCACCACTCCCACCACCGCCACCACCTCCACTGCCTCCACCACCTCCACTGCCGCCCCCACCACCACCCCCGCTGCCACCGCCACCACCCCTGCCACCCTTGCCCTTGCTGCTGCAGCGCTTCCCACTAGCAGAAGCAGCCCCGACATCCTCAACACCAAGGACGTCAACAGCAGCAGCAGAGGCGTAGGAGGGGGCAAGGGGGGAGGGGGAACACCCCTCAAAGAAGGGCGTGCGAGGAGTGCCACGAGCGGCACCTACAGCGACTACACTAGTCTCAGCTGCAAGGAGGTGCTGCTCGAGTAGGTCGACAGTGAGGGCTGTGGGGTCAAGTGCGAGAAAGTGGTCCCTGACAGCGCGAAGAGAGTCAGGGAGGCGGGTGACTATAAAGTAGAGAGTGATGTACATCGGGGGCGGGTTCCTCTCAAGGAACTCAACTGGGAGGGCAGCGCGGTAGCGAGCGTTGCTAGTGCGAAGGTGGGTAACGAGGTCCTCTACCGTGTCAAAGGCGGGAGGGGCGGGAGCGGCTCCAGACGTGTGGTCAAACAACGACACGCTGTCTCTAGAGTCGCTCAGCAGGTACAGCTGTAAGTCGTCGAGCCACGTGTCGAACTGGATCGGACGGCCCTCATGATCGAACGCGAGTACGCGGAGAGAAGCCATAGCAACGCAGGACGCAGGGCGGGCAGGAGCCGGGCAGCGCAAGGAACCGGGCAGGCAGCAGCAAGGGGCGGCAAGCGAGCTGCAAGTGGAGGCGCGCAGGCTGCAAGAGGGGCGGCTTGCGGGCCTAGGAGCGGCGGGCGGGCCGCAAGGGGCGGCGCGCAGGGCAGCAGGGGCGGCGGGCAGGCCGCAAGCGGCGGCGCGCGGGGCTGCAGGGGCAGCAAGAGGGCCGCAAAGGGTGGCGCGCGGGGCTGCAGGGGTGGGCCGAGGGCTGCAGGGGCGAAGGGCGGGCCGCTAGGGGTGGCGCGCGGGGCTGCAGGGGCGGCGAGCAGGGCAGCAGGGGCGGCGCGCAGGGCCTAGGGGCGATGGGCGGGCCACAAGGGGTTGCGCGCGGGGCAGTAGGGGCGACGGGCGGGCCGCAAGGGGCGGTGCGCGGGGCTGCAGGGGCTGCGAGGAGGGCAGCAGGGGCGGCACGCGGGGCCTACGGGCGGCGGGCTGGCCGCAAGGGGCGGCGCGCGGGGCAGCAGAGGCGACGGGCGGGCCTGTAGGGGCGGCGCGCGGGGCTGCAGGGGCGGCACGTGGGCAGCAGGGGCAGCGCGCTGGGCTGCAGGGGCGGCGCAAGGGCTGCTAGGGGTGGCGGGCGGGTCGCAAGCGAGCGACGCGCGGGCTGCAGGGGCGGCGCGAGGGCCGTGACGAGGAGGCGGGCGGGCTGCCAGGGCAGCGCGCTAGCGGTAGGGGCGGGTCGTGGGCTGCTAGAGGCAGCGCGACTAGCTGCTAGGGGCAGTTCGTGGGGCAGCTCTGTGGTGGGCCCTAAAAAATAACGGTCCTAGCAAAGGACCTGCTCTGAAACCATGTCAGAAGAATGAACGAGAATAAATGCATTGAGCAGAAGTTGGGTACAAGTACTAACCCTAATTGGTACCCCTCATTGGCTACCCCACTATAGCCTACACAAAGCAATATAACATTCTGACACTCGCCCGCGTCCCCTTTCTTGCATTTCCCACGCGTCTCCCTCTTTTTCGCGGCCTGACGGGCTTTCTCGCAGTCGAGGTAAAGGGTCACGCCTTTCGAGGATGGCCACGCAGATCCATCGTAGTTCCAATTGGCCACGACTTCGACCATCAGGGGCATGCAAACGTGGACTGTCTTGTTGTCCGGATCCGCGTATACACTCAGCACATTCTTCTCAACGGAAGCCGAGGACAGCATCTGAGCCCCTTTGCGTTTCCGGATTGTCGCGTACACGTCTGCCCAGCAAGCTTTCAAACCAGACAAGTCATCCGCGCTCGCGCCACACAGCTTTGAAGCGGCCGAGGCACTCTGGAGCACAGCAGAGCGATGTTCCGCAGTAACCCCTTCGAAGGCCGTTTTCGTACCACCCGTTGTGTTCACGTGAGTGTAAGCCGAGGTCAAGCTCCACATGGCTGCACAACCGAACGCCAACGCGCCCACGTATAGCGCCTTCTGTGCTTTCTCTTTCACTGCCGTTTTGTCATCCACGGCTTCAAGGCCAATAGCAGCACAAATCGCAGACTCGACCGTGGGCTTCACCTTCGAGTCCAAGAATCCGCGACTTGTCTTGAAAATGTTCAACATCCTGCGCGAAAATCTAGTGAAGAAAGTTAACACCCACGGTTGAAAAAAACGTCGAACACAACTGCGGTAGGGCGTCGTACCTCTTGTGATTCGCGGCCAGTTTCCTGATAAAAATAACCGCGTAAAGCCCCGTGGTCATCTTTCGGGCGAGAGCGAGATCGAGTGTCCATTCCTCCTCTTCCTGGTCCGTGAGCACTAACAGCGACTTCTGCACGCGGTCGTGCCACACGATCTGTGCCACCGCGGACAGATAGCGCGCGGGCCCAGCACGCGGAAACGCACCGAGATAGAAGCGCTCACCACCATGATGAAGCTCAACCGAGAAGGGTTTTTTTTTGCATGGTTTAACACGGACACCGACCATCGGCGTGTGAATGATCTCGGCACTCTTAGAGGTCCCCCCCTCAGCCCCACGACCAGCACCTTTCACCGCTGCCCGCGCCGCAAGATACTTCCTCCGCGCATCCCTCGCCTCGGCCTCCTCGTCGCCAACAGATTCTTCCGCGCCCTCATTCGTGCCCTCCGCTGCAATCGCCAGCCTGCCAAAAGCAACAAAAGCGTCCTTCGAATCAGCAACCGCAGGAGCGGCCTCTTTCAGGCCAGCAGTAGTGATACCACCAGCACTCTTCACTTTCTTCGCTCGGTTGGAAGCCTCGCCTTTGGCACCCTGCAGAATAGAGCGCTTTTCATGATGCACTGACTCAACACCGCCCGTAAGCATCAGCGGCAGGCACTCGTCACCCGCTGCACCAGCTCCGAGTTTGGGATCCCGACCCGCGGAATGCACAGGGTCGGCAATCGGCCTAGCGTTTCCCCCGATGCTCCCCATAACTGCCCTCAGGATCATAGCCCCCGCGCCCGCACCATGCTCCACCGCCCGCACCATAGAGTCTTCAAGGCCGACAAGCTTGTGCCAAACCTCCGTGCGGGTCCGCTCACCGACATCGTTGATCGCGGAAGTCACAATGGTTTTCAGATCCGCCACAGTAGCCTCAACACGTGCAAGTGTGAGCGCTAACGTCTCCCTTTGCGACGTCGCATTTGCCCTCTCCACACAGATCTCCTGGACTGCGTCAGCAACATCAGCGCGCCCGCGCTTATCCGATTCGTCGAGGCGGGCCTCGATGTGGCTCATGGTTAACATCCCGCGCTCAAAGGCCTCTTGGTTCTCTGCCACCCAACCCATTAGCCCCGACAACTTCTCCCGCTGCTGTGCCAAGTGCCTTTCCTGCGTCTTGGCCATGTCCTTCACCTGACGGACGTCGACCTCGAGACGCATTACCTCGTGCACAAGTGTGAGGTGAGGCAAAATAGACAGCTCCTCGAAAGAACGGTTGCAACTCTTGCGCGACCCCTTTCCGACATCATCACTGCCACCAGGTCGCCCGGCCACCTCCCTTCTCAATTCTTGTACGTGGGGTGGACTAGCCTTGTCCGCGTAGTCGGCGGCGAGGGCATTTCCCATGGTTCCCGCGGAAACTTCTTTCCTTTTTTCCGCGGCACGAACCTCCCTGTTGGCTCCCGCGGAAGAATCACCCGCAACCTCGGTAAATTTTTCCGCGTTTTCGCCAGCAGGTGTCTTAATCTCGGGTGGGGGTTCCGTTGGGCCCCGACCGGTATCGGCTGCGCTATCCGCAGGGGGGGCCGCGTGGGCCGCAGTTGTGCGTGCGCCCGAAGTTCGGCCCACCCCGGGCTCGGTTAAACACGATGTCGACGGCCGGTTCACAAGCGTGCTTGACGATCCTGTCCCGCAGGGACTTTAGCGACTTCGTCTTGGCGGCGCTGACAATAGTCAAACGGTTCTGCAACCCATGATCCCAATCTGCCAGCACGCGTTGGAACCCATACACGACAATCATGCCGCTCTTGGCGTTCGGATCGGTGACCGGGGTCAGGTCCTGCGAAGAAAATATTTGGAAAAACATGATACAGACGCGAGGAGCACGTCCAACACAGATTACGCGAATTAGCGGAGCAAGACCGTACCATCCACTCTGGCTTCAGGTGCGGCACCCGCGAACAAACCCGGCTCTTCAAATCCGAAGCCAACTTCTCAGCTGCTTTCTCAACCATCCGGGCGAACCACCTGCGGGAAGACGCGAATGACACACATTAACAGCAACCCCGGTGAAGCGAATTTGAGTACGAACGAAACTCACTGAACCACATCCTTCGCCAGCTTAGCATGTGGATCTTCGCCGCACACCGACCCGATGTGAATAATCCTCGTTCCGCAGTTCTCCTCGTCAGAAGAAACAAGGTCGTTGGGTCGGATGACAACCAGGATGCTGCAATGACAACTGCTATCGTCCAAACTGCACACAAAAAAACCGGAACAATGAGTGGGAGAAATTGGACGCGGGTGCATACTAAGACACAACCCGCAAAGTAATCACCCACCTAGACCACATCGGAAACACGACGAGAGACTTGGAAATCAAGTCCACGTCGATACTGTCCTTCTTCAACAGCGGCATTTGGTCCTGACTCGGAAACATGACAGACGTCCGCTCCAGAGGTGGAGGATGCTTGGCAAGCACATGGCTGTTGAGAGAACAAAGAATAGGCCACGTGGGAGTCAGCAACCCAAGAACGCGAGAAAAAAACGCGAGAAACATGCACGCGAGAATCTTGCTTCGTAATGCAAGTACAGACACGCGAAATCAAGGCACTGTGTGGAAAAGTCGGCGTCCTCGTTCATCAAGACGTCCTTGTTATCGCCTACAAGAGTAGCAGTTGTGCCACCAACCGTGATAACAACGTCGTGCCCCTTCAGGGCTTCCATGGGATCCACGAGATTCCTGCGTTCTCGAAGCATTCTGCACGCGCAAAAAGGGCACTTGACTCTACCACGCAGACGTGGAACAAGAATACGCACCCGTGGAATCGAGAACGCGAAATAACCGACACTTAGTCATGAGCACCCGGAAACAATGTGGGAAATGTCATATGCGAAAAATATCAGACGCGAAGATGACGCGAAGGAGAAACCGCGAAAAAAAACCAGTACGATACAAGCACGCGGAAAGATGCTAGACCAGAATTACACGGAAACGCGGGCACGAAAACCGCACACGGTCAAGAAACCGTGGGAAACTAGTACTAAAACCCCTGATAATGAATGCAAGTAGCGGAAAAGAAACCCGCGGATACCAAACCGACACGCGTAAAAAAAAGCTCACGCCTCCGCGTTAAACTTCCCGCGCCTAGCAAACTCAGCCGTGCACACCGATTCTAAGAGTCTATCTTCAAAGCAAGCACACATACCTTCAAGACGTTGAGGCAGTGGCGAGGATGAAGGTTTGCGCAGAGAGGAAGGGGTGAAGAAACGCAATGAAAACGGAAAACAAAACACAACAATGAGGCATGATGGCCTCCTATACCCTCCTTCGGTCTCGTGCCCTCTGCCTCGCGCGGTGCACCCCGGCGTCCATCGGCTCCCATGCACAGAGGACCTGGTTTCCCACCTTCACACTAGCGACGCTCGCTACCGCGCTGCCCTCCTAGCAGAGTTCCTTGACAGGAACCCACCCCCGATGTACATCACTCTTTAATTTATCGTTACCCGCCTCCCTGACTCTCTTCGCGCTGCCACGGACCACATTCTCGCGCTTGACCCCACAGCCCCCACTACTGACCTTCTCGAGCAGCACCTCCTTGCAGCTGAGACTAGTGTAGTCGCTGTAGGTGCTGCTCGTGGCACTCCGCGCACGCCCTTCTTTGAGGGGTGCTCTCCCTCCCTCCTTGCCACCTCCTACGCCTCTGTTGTTGCTGTCGACGTCCCTGGCGCTGAGGACGTCGGGGCTGCTTCTGCTAGTGCGAAGCGCCGCAGCAGCAAGGGCAAGGGTGGCAGGGGTGGTGGCGGTGACAGCGGGGGTGGTGGTGGGGGCAGCAGTGGAGGTGGTGGAGGCAATGGAGGTGGTGGCGATGGTGGGAGTGATGGCGGGAGTGGAGGCTTTGGTGGCGGCGGTGGTGGCAGCGGTGGGGGTGGCGGCAGTGGGAGTGGTGGCAGTCGGGCTGGAGCTACTCAGCGGGGAGGTTCTGGCCGTGGCCAGCGGCAGCAGCAGCAGCGTCGGAGTAAGACCCCGTCGCCCCAGCAGCTTCGTGAGTGGTTTTCGCAGTGTGGGACGTCTGGGGGTAGTGGTAGCTGCCCGTATGTCATTCGCACGGGTGACCGTGCTGGTCAGACATGCGGGAAGCCTCACACTCAGCACCGCTGCTTCTCCCGCCTCGACGACACTTGGCACGCAGAGTTTGGTGACGAGGCCGAGCGCCCCCGCTGGGCAGAGCTGCTTAGGTCTGGAGTTGCTATCTTTGACCTAGACTATGATGCTATCCTTGCTGCTATGTATGCCTTGTCTGTTGGTGCTGAGGGTGACTGTTACCTGTGTGTGTCGCCTGACCCAGGTATAGAGGCTGCTCCTCTAGGTGCTAATGAGTCTGCTCTCCCTGGTACTGCGCCTGCTAAGGCCTTGCACACCTTAACGCTTGACTTAGGTGCTTCATGCTGTTTCTTTCGCGACAGCACCACCCTCATTACTCTCTCTACACCTGTACCGGTCAGACTGGCTGACCCCTCAGGGGGCCCAGTTCTTGCCCGTTCCTCCACTGTCCTCCCGTGTCCGGCGGTTCCGTCCGGCTCACTGTCAGGTCTTCACCTCCCCTCGTTCTCTACGAACTTGGTGAGTACCGCTGCCCTCCAGGATGCGATGGTCACTACCACCACTCCTGGGGGTCAGCGTGTGTCGATCTGCACGTGTACACGAACGGGCCGCCACCTGGCCACGTTCACTCGTCGGCCCGGGTCTATTCTGTACACACTGGCTACCGAGCCTCCTCAGGTAGCTGCGTCTGCCCAGGTGTCCGCGTCAGGTCCGGTAGCACCCCCTTGCTCGTGTCGCCTCCTGTCGCACCAGACTCTCCTGTGGCACCACCGCCTTGGTCACCCCTCCCTGCCACGCCTTCGTGGCATGCAGTCCCGCCTCCTTGTCTCTGGTCTTCCCAGGTCTCTGCCTCCCCTCCCGCCCTCGCCTTCTCCGCCCTCCCTTCCTTGCGTTGAGGGGCGGCAACGCGCCGCTCCTCACTCCTCCTCGTTTCCCCCGACAACTGCTCCCCTGCAAACTCTCCACATGGACGTGTGGGGCCCAGCCCGTGTCACTGGACAGGGCCGCGAGCGCTACTTTCTGCTGGTTGTTGATGACTACACGCGGTACACCATGGTCTTCCCCTTGCGCAGCAAGGGTCACGTCGTTGATGTCTTGATCCCTTGGAGTTGCGCAGTCTGCTCCAGCTCCGCGAGCGGTTCCGTACGGACCTTCCTGTCTTGCGTCTGCACTTTGACAGAGGTGGTGAGTTCTCCTCCGATCTCTTGCGGGACTTTTGTCGTGGGGAGGGCATTCTCCAGTGGTTCACGCTTCCGGACTCCCCTCAGCAAAATGGGATTGCTGAGCGCCGCATTGGCCTAGTCATGGAGGTCGCTCGTACCTCCATGATCCATGCGGCTGCTCCCCATTTTCTGTGGCCGTTTGCGGTCCGGTACGCTGCGCATCAGGTCAACCTCTGGCCCCGTGTCTCCTTGCCGGAGACCTCGCATACACTGCGTTGGACGGGGAAGGTTTGCGATGCGTCGGTGTTCCAGGTCAGGGGTTCTCGTGCCTTTGTTCGCGATATGTCTGCGGACAAGCTCTCCGCCCGCGCTATTTTCTGCGTCTTGGCTTTTCCCCTGACGCGCCTGGCTGGCAGTTTTACCACCCCACCTCGCGCCGTGTCTTCCCCTCTCAAGACGTCACCTTTGACGAGTCGGTTCCCTTTTACCGTCTCTTCCCCTACCGCTCTGCTCCTCCCCCACCCCCGCCGCTCTTCCTTGCTCCAGGTCCCCCTCCAATAGACCCCCTCCCGCCCCACGGTCCTGCTCCCTCAAGTGTGTCTCAGGTAGACCCTCTCCCTGGTACTGCGCCTGTTGAGGTAACTGTCGGCTCAGGTGCTGCTCCAAGTGCTGCGTGTGGGGGTGCTGTGTCTGGGGGTGCGGAGTCTGGGGGTGCGGAGCGTGGGGGTGCGGAGTCTGAGGGTGCCGGGTCTGGGGGTGCGGAGCCTGGGGGTGAGGAGTCTGAGGGTGCCGGGTCTGGGGGTGCTGAGCCTTGGGGTGCGGAGCCTGGGGGTGCTGAGCGTGCGGGAGTGGAGCCTGGGGGTACTACGACCGGGGGTGCTGCTTCTTCTGGAGATCCGGCGGGTGCTCCGTCACGACTGTCTCCCCGACCGGAGCCTCTCTCCCCGCAGCAGCTGCGCAAGTGGTTTGCTCAGCGCACCCGCCTTCGGAGTGGAGCATCTAGAGCTGGAGACTCTGCCACTGGAGACACTGGAGATGGAGGTGCTGGAGTTACTGCTTGAGCTGGTGGTACAGGAGGTGCTGCAGCTGCTGGTCGTGGAGATGCTCGTACCGGGGGTACTGGAGCTGCCGGGATTGGTGGTGTTGGGGGAGCTGGAGTTGGAGACCCTACAGAGCCTGGAGTTGCTGGGCCTGGAAGAGCTAGAGTTGTTGGCGCTGGAGCTGGAGGCATTGGCGCTGGAGGCGCTGGAGCTGGAGGAGCTGGAGCTGTTGACCCTAGAGCTGGAGGCACTGGCGCTGGAGGCGCTGGAGCTGGAGGCGCTGGAGCTGTTGACCCTGGAGCTGGAGGTGCTGGAGGCACTGTGCGGCCGCGACCGTACTTTGTTCCCCTGCTTCAGTAGGTTCTTGGTGTCCCGTATTCTCCTGGCCTTACTCCTTCTTACTGTGTCCACTGCCTGACCAGTCACAGCCGCCGTTACAGCCAGCCTCCCCACTGCCTGCTCCTTCTCCTTACACTGAGCAGATCGACGGCCTTACAGAGCGTCGTGAGCCTGCGTCTCGTCCTGCCTCCCCTGTTCGCACTGGTCGTTGCGTTCCTCGTCCGCGCCCTCCTCCTGTCCCCGGCACACACGCTATGACACTTCGTCCTTCCTCTGTTCCACTACGTGTTCCTCTGCCTGCTCCTCCTGAGTCCTCTCTTCCTACCGTCCCTGACCCTGAGTCTGACCGTGCTCGTGCTGCCAGTCCCACTGTCTCTCGTCTCCTCGCCAATGTTGTCACTGGCCCTTCCTTTGAGTCCACTGCTGCGTCTGCCCTCATTGGTGAGCTCGTTGACTTTGCTGCTGCCTGTCGGCTAGACTACGCCACTGCTCTTGTTGCTGAGTCTGAGTCTGCGAGTCCTCCGTCTGTCGAGGGTGAGTGTGCTCTTGGCACGGACGTCCTTGAGGACAGGCAGGAGGACTTTGAGTGTCTTGCAGGTGCTGTACCTCGTTTCGCTTCCATGCTGCTTGCCCCTGAGTAAGACCCGGATGCACCAGACATCCCGACCCCGCGCTCTTACGCAGAGGCGATTACGGGTCCCTACTCCTCTCAGTGGCAGGCAGCCATGGATGCCGAGATGGCATCCTGGAAGTCCACAGGCACCTACGTCGACGTAGTTCCCTTGTCTCGGGCGAACATACTCGATGGCATGTGGATTTTCAGGGTGAAACGGCCGCCGGGTTCTCTGCCTGCCTTCAAGGCGCGTTACGTTGCTCGAGGCTTCAGTCAGCGACAGGGGGTTGACTACTTCCAGACCTTCTCCCCCACCCCGAAGATGACTACTCTTCGGGTGTTGCTGCACGTCGGTGCTCAGCGTGACTACGAGTTGCACTCTCTGGACTTCAGTACAGCTTTCTTGCAGGGTAGCCTGCACAAGGAGATCTTGCTGCGCCGACCACCTGGCTTCACTGGGTCGTTTCCTGCAGCTACCCAGTCGAGCCTCCGGCGGCCAGTCCACGGTCTCCGCCAGGCGCCTCGCGAGTGGCACGACACACTGAGGACTACACTTGCGGCTCTGGGGTTTACTCCTTCTACTGCTGACCCGTCGCTGTTTCTACGTATCGACACGTCGCTGCCGCCGTTCTACGTCCTAGTGTACGTCGACGACCTCGTCTTTGCCACTGCTGACACTGAGGCACTGACCCTTGTGAAGTCAGAGCTGCAGAAGAGACACACCTGCACTGACCTCGGTGAACTGCGCAACTATCTTGGCTTGCAGATCACCCGGGACAGAGCACGGCACACCATCACACTAACTCAGTCACACATGGTGCACCAGGTCCTTCGGCGCTTCGGCTTCCAGTTCTCCTTGCCACAGCGCACTCCTCTGTCTACCGGCCACTCGCTCTCAGCTCCACCTTCGGACAAGTCCGTAGAGCCGAGTGGTCCGTACCCAGAACTTGTGGGTTGCCTTATGTACCTGATGACGTGCGCAGGACCTGACCTCGCGTACCCTCTCAGCCTCCTGGCTCGCTACGTGGCTCCCGGTAGGCACCGAAATGTGCATTGGGATGCTGCAAAGAGGGTACTGCGTTACTTGTGCAGTACATCGGGCATGGGGCTCGTGCTTGGAGGACGGGGTCCAGTTGTCCTCACTGGTCACGCAGACGCTTCTTGGGTTGACGACTCACCTACGCAGCAGTCGTCACAAGGTTACACCTTCAGCCTTGGTTGCGGCTCTGTTTCCTGGCGGTCTACTCGCTCGTCTTCGGTTCTCAGCTCCAGTTGTGAGGCTGAGATCTACGCAGGGGCCATGGCTGCACAGGAGCTACGCTGGCTCACCTACATGCTGACTGACTTGGGCGAGCAGCCTCGTTCGCCTCCAATTCTGTACGTAGACAACAAGGCCATGATTGCCTTGTGTCAGGAGCACAGAATGGAGCACATAACGAAGCACATCGCTCTGCGATACTTCCTTGCTCGAGAGTTGCAGCAGCGTGGCCAGCTTTGTCTTGCGTACGTGGCCACTAGGGCCAACACTGCTGATATATTCACCAAGGCACTTCCGCCTGGTGATCATCAGCGCTTCTCTACTGTATTAGGCCTTGTGCCTACTTTGCCTCACTTGCTCACTGCGTGACTTTACTTGTACTGTGATCGATATATATACCTGCATGCTTACACTTTCTAGGGTATGATCACTGTCTTGTTTGTTCTCTTTTATATAACTCTGCATGTGAACTGGCCTTGTGGCCCTTTGCTTGTGCTCGGACTGTGTGGTGACTTTGTGATCTGTTGAGATGAGCTCATAAGCTAGGGAGCCATAGCTAGGGTGTGAGCTAGGCAATTGTCGAGAGTAAAAAGTGAGAGAAGAAAAGATGTTCACTAAGAGAAGAAAGTACAAGATATAGGCAAAGCAACGAAGGTGCACCACCAAACAAGTTTAGCACTACACTAAGTCTACACTACAGGCAGTTATAGAATAATGCATACAATGATATTCTGACACACCCCCTAACTGCTTGAAGTGAAGAATCATGTGCAGAAACACCCCCTGAAGGGGTACACCTTGCGCAGCAGAAGAAGGAGATGGCAAATAAGGAGGAGGCGGCTGATGCTGCAGCTGGACTCACAGCACCCCCCAACCTCCCCCCGCACAGCAGTAGCAGCAGCAGTGAGGAGAGAGAGGAGGAGGCGTGGCGGGAGTTGCTGGAGCTCTGTCACCCACCACCCACACCCTCCCCTCTCCTCCCCACCCCCCAACCCCAACTGCTGCACGTGCAGCAGGGAGAGGGAGGAGAAAAGGGGGGGAGGGGGGGGGGCGGGGTAGGGGCTGTGCATGGGGCTGCAGATGCGCGTGCAGAGGGCAGCAGGGCACACGGGGTGCACAAGACAGCAGGGCGTGCGTGGCGCGCAGGGCTGCAGGGCGCGCGGGGAGCGCAGGACAGCAGGAAGGGCTGTAGCGGCCGCATTAAGGACTGTAGCAGCAGCAGCAAGGGCTGTAGCGGCAGCAGCATGGGCTGCAGCGGCAACAGCAAGGGCTGTAGCGGCAACAGCAAGGGCTGTAGCGGCAGCAGCAAGGGCTGTAGCGGCAACAGCAAGGGCTGTAGCGGCAGCAGCAAGGGCTGTAGCGGCAACAACAAGGGCTCTAGCGGCAGCAGCAGGGCGCGCGGGGCGCACAGGGTAGCAGGGCAGCAGAGGTGCACAGGGCTGCAGGGCAGCAGGGCGCACAGGGCTGCAGGGCAGCAGGGCGCGCGGGGCGCGCAGGGCTGCCGGGCGCGCAGGGCGCGCAGGGCAGCAGGACAGCAGGGCGCGCGGGGCGCGCAGGGCCGCAGGGCGCGCGGGGCGCACAGGGCAGCAGGGCAGCAGGGCACGCGGGGCGCAGCAGGGCTGCAGGGCGCGCGGGGCGCACAGGGCAGCAGGGCGCACAGGGCTGCAGGGCAGCAGGGCGCACAGGGCTGCAGGGCAGCAGGGCGCGCAGGGCTGCAGGCCAGCAGGGCGCACAGGGCTGCAGGGCAGCAGGGCGCGCGGGGCGCGCAGGGCTGCAGGGCAGCAGGGCGCACAGGGCTGCAGGGCGCGCAGGGCAGCAGGACAGCAGGGCGCGTGGGGCGCAGTAGGGCTGCAGGGCGCGCGGAGCGCACAGGGCAGCAGGGCGCACAGGGCTGCAGGGCAGCAAGGCGCACAGGGCTGCAGGGCAGCAGGGCGCGCGGGGCGCGCAGGGCTGCAGTGCGCGCAGGGCGCGCAGGGCAGCAGGACAGCAGGGCGCGCAGGGTGCGCAGGGCTGCAGGGCGCGCGGGGCGCACAGGGCAGCAGGGCAGCAGGGCTCGCGGGGCGCAGCAGGGCTGCAGGGCGCGCGGGGCGCACAGGGCAGCAGAGCAGCAGGGCGCACAGGGCTGCAGGGCAGCAGGGCGCACAGGGTTGCAGGGGGATGGAGGAGAAGGGAGGGGGGGGGGGGGGGGGGGCTGGTGCTGCAGATCCCCTCCCCCCCCACTTCTGCACCCGCAGCAGGGGGATGGAGGAGAAGGGAGGGGGGGGGGGGGGGGGCTGGTGCTGCAGATCCCCTCCCCCCCCACTGCTGCACCTGCAGCAGGGGGATGGAGGGAGGGGGGGGGGGGGGGGGGGGGGGGGCTGGTGCTGCAGATCCCCTCCTGCCACCCGCTGAACCTCCAAGCTCCCCCATACTCCCCCCCCACAGCAGCAGGCGCAGCCGTGAGAGGGGAGGAGGCGTGGCAGCAGCAGATCCCCTCCTGCCCCCCCCTTAACCTCCAAGCTCCCCCCCCCTTCCCAACAAAAGGTGCGGCAGGGAGAGAGAGAGGAGAAGGGGGGGCGGGGGGGGGCTGATGCTGCAGATCCCCTCCCCCCCACTGCTGCTCCACTATCCGTCAACCCCCAGGGATGAAGGAGAAGGGGGGGACGGGGGGGGTTGGTGCTGCAGATCCCCTCCCCCCCACTGCTGCACCCACAGCAGGGGGATGGAGGAGAAGGGGGGGGCGGGGGGGGCTGGTGCTGCAGATCCCCTCCCCCCCAATGCTGCTCCACAATCCTTCACCCGCCAGGGATGGAGGAGAAAGGGGGGGCGGGGGGGGCTGGTGCTGCAGATCCCCTCCTGCCTCCCCCTGAACCTCCAAGCTCCCCCCCCCCCTCCCAACACAGGGTGCGGCAGGGAGAGAGAGAGGAGGAGGCGTGGCGGCAGCTGCTGCTGCTGAGGCACATCCACCACCCCCTCACACCGTCTCCCCCCCGTCCCCATGGAGGGGGGGGAGGGGGGGGAGGGGGAGGGGGGGGGGAGCTGCGCGTGCGACTGCAGGGCACGCGGGCAGGGGAGCTGCAGTCACACGCGCGGGCACTGCGCGTGCGACTGCAGCTCCCCCCCCTCCATGATGCGACGGGGCACCGGGGCCGCGACTAGGGGCGACAGGTCGCGAGGGCCGCGGCTAGGGGCGACGGGGCCAAGGGGCCGAGGCGACGGGGCCTGGGGTCGCGAGGGGCCGCAGCTGGGGGCGACGGGGCCTAGGGGCCGCGGCTAGGGGTGACGGGGCCAAGGGGCCGAGGCGACGGGGCGACGGGCCTAGGGTCGCGAGGGGCCGCAGTTGGGGGCGACGGGGCCTGGGGGCCGCGGCTAGGGGCGACGGGGCCTGGGGGCCGCGGCTAGGGGCGACGGGGCCAAGGGGCCGAGGCGAAGGGGCCTAGGGTCGCGAGGGGCCGCAGCCGAGGGCGACAGGGCCTAGGGGCCGCGGCTAGGGGTGACGGGGCCAAGGGGCCGAGGCGACGGGGCAACGGGCCTAGGGTCGCGAGGGGCCGAGACGACGGGGCCTAGGGGCCGCGGCTAGGGGCGACGGGGCCAAGGGGCCGAGGGGCTCCAGCTAGGGGTGACGGGGCCAAGGGGCCGAGGCGACGGGGCCTAAGGGGCCGCGGCTAGGGGCGACGGGGCCAAGGGGCCGAGGCGACGGGACCTAGGGGCCGCGGCTAGGGGCGACGGGGCCACGCCAAGGGGGGACGGGCCGGGGCCTAGGCTAGCAGGGCAGTAGGTGGTGGGCCCATGAATATTAGGTCCTAGAAACGACCTACTCTGATAGCATGTTGAGATGAGCTCATAAGCTAGGGAGCCATAGCTAGGGTGTGAGCTAGGCAATTGTCGAGAGTAAAAAGTGAGAGAGGAAAAGATGTTCACTAAGAGAAGAAAGTACAAGATATAGGCAAAGCAACCAAGGTGCACCACCAAACAAGTTTAGCACTACACTAAGTCTACACTACAGACAGTTATAGAATAATGCATACAATGATATTCTGACATGATCCACCCTGAGCTTGCTTTGCTTTTTCTTGACTGGTCTTGTGACCACTTGTTCTCCCCCACTTTGCCTATGGGAGCGTGTCAGAATGTTTTAGTGCTTACATTTATGTAGGCTATAGTGGGGTAGCCCATAAGGGGTACAACCCAATTAGTGTTAGTACTTGTACCCAACTCTTTCATAGTTCATTCATTCACGTTCATTCTTCTGACAGAGTTTTCCTACCACGCGAAAGCATCGTATGATCCTTAGGGGAACAAATGGAGGGGAAAGAGAGAGAGAGAAAAAAACAAACACGAGGACAACTCCTTGTAGCCCAGTGGTCCCCGTCCCCGTCACGCGAGGGGGTGTGCTGCGTCAGGCGGTCCCCGAGCCAGCTCGGTGACCTGTAGCGGCGTCAGCCTGCTTCCTGCCCCCGACAGGCTGGCTAGCTTGGTTCCTGAGTGATGACTTGTGCCTTCACCCGACAAGGTCAAAAAAATAAGTAGCTAGCTTGTATCAATACTAAACGTGAAGCACCACTGGTGTGCAACTCAGATTTTTCTATTGCTATGTACTGTAGTTTGTTCCGCTCTTTGATTTACTACCAAGTTTCCCTCGTAAACAATGCGTAAATGTAGTCCAACGACACAATGATCGTCGAAAAATCCTACATTTTACCAAGAGTGCTAGGCAATTTGTGCCATGTTGAGTTTGCTCGACGTTCGTACCTTAGTATGTTTCGTGCCTATATTTTTCGAGACTGATTGTTCCTTTGCAAATATTGCGCTTTCTGTGTTTCGCCTAGTTGTGCAGAACCAGACATAACTTGATGGTTTCGATCACAAAGTTTCGTCTAAAAACAAAATGGAATACGAAACGCTACCATCTCAGCATCCAGGGCTAGAGAATTATTCTAGGAACACGCACTCTACAACCCATTGTTCCGAGACAATAATACAACTCTAATAGATGGATCAATCAGTCTAGAGAATGGTAGGGTAGGTAAGAAGGGATCAAAGTCAAGAGGAAAGTACAGGATAGAGAAAATTTTAGAGAAAACAGCACTACAAACGGACGATCCTGCCAAGGAATAGAGAAAGAGACCATAGAAAACAACCGGGAGAAATAGATTCCCGGAAGTCTCAGTAGCTCGGACTACTTCAGTTTAGCCAGCTTCTTTGGCTCCACAATCTTGATGTTCGTCCAAGCATCTCCAAACATCTTCGTTCCCCACGCGTCGTTCACCATCTTGGCTGCGAACATTAGGTAGCCGATCTTGTGGCGCTTGGCATCCGTCGTGTTCTTCTTAGGTATCTCGGTGTCTTCCGTGTCGGTCCGTGTCCTCTTCGCATGTGGCTCCTTTCTGAGAATCACACCATCCGCCAGAGCGCTGATCGAACTCCGATCAACAATCTTCTTTTGGATCAGGGCAATGGCGGCCTGTGTCGCCTCCTTTGATTTATCAGCCCTGTACTTCTCGACGGTGAGTATCACGTTCTTCATCCGCTTCATCCTTTTGTCGCCGGTTTCGTCCTTCACACCCATCTCGCAATACGAGAAGGTCGAATAGAAACCATCTTCGGAAGCAAGCTGTTGCAGAGTCTTTCTGTTCATAAAAAAGGTCACCTTCATCCAGAGTTCCCACGCCTCCGCGACATTCTTCGAGTCCCGCCAGGGCTTAACGACAACGTCGAAAAAAGCCTTCACTGGAGTGGTGGCTGTTGGCTTTCCGGGCTTCGGAGCATCGCCACCGGCTTCCACCTTTGTCGACGAGCCCGTCCCTTGATTGGCAGCCTGTCCGTCAGTGTTGCTCCCGGCATGCTCCTTCAGAGCAGTGTTCTCCTTTTTGAGCTGCTCGATTACAGCTGCCATCTTCATCAGACTCTCGTCACGTTCAGCGACCTTGTTCCCCAGCTCGCCAATCTCGTGCTGCATCTGACCAGATTCTGCCCGGTAAAATTTGTTCTCTGCGAGGAGCTTATGGTACTTACGCATTGTGTTCAGCTTGTAGATCGCATCCTGCGTAGAAACGGACGAGATTTTTCAGACAAACACAAGACATGTCGAAATGGTAATGCCGACCAGAGAAAATTTGCACCTACAGCGGCTGCAGAGGTGCCACTGGCTTCACGAAGTTCAATGCCAGCCTTGTGCATGATTGCCACTTTGATGGCCCACTTCTAAAACATTGGGTGCTAACAGAGCGGGATTCATTTCCGTGTACGGGTGGCGCTGGTAGTTGCATGGCCGTTGTGTGCTGTCGAAATTCTTGTTGTGATCGGGACAGTAGAACTACCACATGGCAAGGTCCTGTGCCACGATGTCTCGCCCAGGGTCTTCAAGAGCCTCCGAAAAACTTCTGCCAGAGTGGTGCATCTGACTCGAAGTTTTGGTTCTGTTGTACTCGTCGACCTGAGATGTTAGGACAAACAGAATATTGAACTCTGCCTTGCGATACAAGATTAGAATAAGCGCGTGAAAGCTAGACTAACGAAAAGATACCTTTGCCAAATCAGCTTCGAGGCGAGGGAAGATGTACTTCTTGAAAAGCGCCTTCAACTCTTTCCACTCTGTTGGGTTGTCAAGGATGGCGTGCGATCTGCCAATGTAGTAATCACCCGGTTCCCCACTGAATCCAGCCATCATCAACACCGGCCAAAACGGTATTCCCACCACATAGGATTTTCGCATTTCGCCCTGCTCCCAGCCTCCGAGGGCGTTGATGTCGGGGTCGGGACAGCGATCGTCACTCAGACCTTGAGCTCCGGACCGGCGAAATGCGTGGGTCTTTTTGCTCAACTTCCAGGGTGGTTCAACCGCTTCTTTCATGACCCAATTGATCCAGTCGTTGTGAGTAACGTACGGAAGCAAATCCTGCAATTGACTCCTCCCATCTCCGCGCCTGCTCAATCCGAAAAAGATGTGCTTCCTTTGTCCACTGGAGTGGGTTGCTGAAGTCCACGGGCGGAACAAATTCCGTGCCAAAGCGCAGCGGCACGAGGTCGTAGATGAAATTAATCCACAGGAAAAGGCCACCCACACCGCAGAGCATGAAGTTGATGTGCCGGGCCAAGAATTGGTGGGTTAGATTGTTGGTCGAATTCGTCTTCGATTTTCGAGAAGCGAAGACCACAACTGGAAGATCCTTTTGGCCTTCGGGGACGGCCGTGCTGCTTCGCGTCTTGCGGACAAACATGTTGACGAAGTGCACGAATGCCTACCAGCTCCTTAACGTCCCTCCGTATCCCGGCCCACCAGTACATCGTGCTCACCAGTTGATTGGTACGTGCCGTTCCGTAGTGTCCCAGCTTCCCATGCACCCGCCGCAAGATCCTTTCCCTGTCTTGCTTCTGTGGCACTATCTTCCATCCCTCACTGGTGCGAAGCTGCAGCTGCTCTTGGTACCAACGGTAATGCTGCCCCCTGGCCCTTGCCCTTTCACTGGCTTCCTCACCCTCCGTGCTCCCTCCCTTTATCCACTCCAGAGTCTCGGTATCCTCCCAAACATCTAGCTGCCTCTTCTCAACTTTCTCTTGCCACCAGCCAGCTGCTGGCACCTGTGCTACGGCTACCAGCTGCGCCACGGGCTGCACAGGTGGAGGGTTCCTAGACAAACCGTCAGCATGCTGGAGGGTCTTGCCTGGGCGGTGGCGGATTTCAAAGTCGTATCCCAACAGCTTGATCGCCCAGTGGGCGTTCCGTCCTGTCAGTCCCTGGTTTTGTTGGTGCAACCCTACGGTTTGCACTCGGCTTGTTGTCCGTGTGCGTGAATGTGTGTGTGTATGGAATGGTATGAGGGCATGGGATAATATATATTTCATGCTTATAATTGTGTGTGAATGTTGAGTCATGATGTCGAGTGTGTGTGTCGAGTCAATAGCGAGTTATCGAAGACGCGTGTTACGCGGTCGTTTGTGTCTCGCGCGCGGTTTCTATTTTGTCGTGCGCGGTTTCTATTTTGTCCTGTGTCGAACGTTCGGCGTGTCGCAGGTGTGTGCAGCAGACCCATCAAGAACTCAAGGATGAGCTTGTGATGAAGAGCCCGAGCCTTGGTGTCAAGCCTCAAGTGATTTCGAAGCTTGCCAAAAGGGTACACCTCAAGATATTGAAGATAGTTACATTACTTTGTGTAGTG